CTGTATATACTAATGGTTGAATGAAGTTGACTGTTAACCAGAAGGGCTGGACTCTTCATTTACCCAGTCGTGCCTCCAAAAAAAAGACCTGGCTATCTGTTTCAGAAAAATCAGCTTTTGAAACTCCTGGGGAGCACAGTTTTACTCGGACCTGAGTGGGGTCACCATGAGTTTGTGTTGACTCCACAACAACTGGGGGGAAATACTGACTTAAGTGCCTCCTTTATGAATAATTCTGCTTGAGTCTTGAGAGGAGATTTAGCAAAGTGCACTTGATCTTGCCCACATTTAGAGTATCTAACATAGTTGGAAAGATTTTTTTCACATTCTTTTTTACAAAATATTAGTTGTTTGCTGCTCTGTTGAACTTTGCTATTGTTGCTGGGTTTGGAAAACTTTTTAAAAAGGTAATTATGAATGTTAGAATAATATCCAACCTGCTACGGTAGAGATTATTGATAATATTTGACTTAGGGTTTTAGAAGAGATTTCAGTGGCATGTATAAGCCAAGGGAAGTCTTAGTAAAGAGCTGGGCTTAAAAAAAAATCGAGCAATGTAATATGTACTATAGATCAAGAAGTAAATACGATATTAATAAAAGAATGACTAGGGAGTAAGCACGAGGCCTGCAAACAGAATGTAAGGACTCTAGGGACTGAGTCAAGTCTGAAGGGAAGTTACTTGAAGGTAAAAAAAAAATGTACAGATTGGATTAGATGACAAGAGAAAAATAATATCCAGGGTTAAAGGAGATGAGTCAGGGTCAAGGTGAAGACAGCCTGTTAGATGAGCAGTGACTCATTGACAAGAGCAGGGAATGAAAGATATGATGGCTTTGGGGATGTTCACTGTCTAAATCCACGACTAAGGAGCAAGTGATGGACATTTCTCTGATGTGGCTGCTGTAGCTCTTGCCAGGGTGGGAAGGAAGCTGACCGAGATGGCAGAGAAACCAGAGAATTGAGATAGGGGATCAAGGACTCAGCAATTCTTCCCACTATGTTATATAATCAGTTCCATAAACATTTACTGAATGCCCACCTTGCCAAATCCAATCTGTGCAGAAGGTAATACAAAATAATAATTTATCCTTATTAAAAAACCTTTATCATGTGCCAGACCCTTCATGTGCTTTACCAGTTTATGTTAATGCCTGTAGGAACCCTCTGAGTAATGACTTTAATCATCTCAGTTCTACCTATGAGGAAACGGAGGTTGTGCGAGGTTTAAGCAACATGCTTAAGGTCACATAATTGGCAAGTGTTGGAGCTAGGATTTGAATGCAAGATTTTGGAGCGTGTGCTTTGAAGACTCAAACTCACTGCCATAGAGTCTGAACCCCCTCAGAGCCGACTCCCTAGTGGGTTTCCAGGGGCTGTAAGTGACATGGGAGGAAATTGCCAATCTTTCTTTTCTTCCTCAGAGCAGCTGGTAGAATCAAACTGGTGGCACAACTCCTTATCCACACATTACTAAACATGATATGTCTCTCCTGCTGCCAAATCTGGAGAGGTTACTTGCAATGATGAAATAGAAAATATTTAAAGAGATAAGAAGAAGTTAAATCAGATTTTACTTAATCTCAAGTGGGTGGAATGATCCACTTCTCTCAGATAGAAATGTGTAAAACACAGGACACATGGCAATTCATTGAGGTACAGGAAGAAAAGATTGAATCTGCTCTTTCTGTTTGTACTCATAGTTAATTAAGTAGCCTAAACTCCCATTATAAGCTCTTAATCATAAAATAAAACTAACTTGATAGTGTTGTTGTTGTTATGTGTCATCGATTCACCTGCAGCTCATAGCGACCCTATGCACAACAAGATAAGGATGATAAGGACGGCACAGGATAGGAGGGGACTCGGATCTGTTGCTCTTTGGGTCACTGTGGGTCGTGCTCACCTCGACAGCACTTAAGGACAGTGAATAAAGAGGTGGACTACTCACCCAAAGTCAGGGGATTTGCACCCATCAGCTACTCTGCGGGAGAAGTGTGGGCAGTCTTCTCCTGTGTCACTTATGGCCTTGAAAACTCACTGGAGGGTCAGCTATGAGACAGGTCTGACTCACTGGCAAACAACAACACATATATAACAGACTCAACTGAACTCATTGCTCATTTTTGTCCCATGGAGCTGCTGGTAAATTAAAACCACCTGCTTTTGGGCTGACAGTGCAACCTCTTATGTGCTAATGAGAATGACTGTTGGAATTGTAGTGCTTGCTATATAAAAAAATGCATTTTTACTATACTGTTAAGAGCTTTATTTACATTTGGTAAAGCAGTTAAAGGTTTGTGTTTTGGGGTTTTTTTTTGGTCAATGATATTTAATTAATTTTCCATTCACTGAATAATTGCGTTGTCTTGCCAGTACACATACGAGACAGCCCGGCCTGGCACTCTGAGATGTTGTACTCAGGTGCCCCAGGCATAAACAGTATGGTGGAAATACCCTTTTCCGTGTTTGTAAGACAATCTCTTTCATGCCAGAGAAGTATTTTGGGAAGATGATTCATGTCCCATTTTGGCTTCATCACAGCTATAAGTTGTAAGTGGTGCTGGTTTGCCTGAGAGTGTAAAAATAAATCTTATCTTTCCATGCATATGGAAATACCTGTAGCTGAAAAAAGTATTTTCTATTCTTGAGTTGCATTGTAGGCAATATACAATGAGGTTAACAAGGTACTTGTCATAACTCTAACTTTAGTGTACCAAAAACACACTTTCAAAAGAATACCAATTACTTGTAAGGGGCTGAGATAGGGAAGCTGAGAACCAAATGCCTTACTGTAATAATCAAATGATCCTATAAAAGAAACACAGTGCCTTCTCTTTTCAAAGAGAAGATTCAAGAATATTCAATTTGTTAAATGCAGATGATGAAGTAAAGTGAAACTGTTCTGATGTGCTTTCTGATAAACACAGTACTATTTAAAGGATGTGGTAAAACTTACTTGTTTATTCAGTGATTAAAATGCATGATTCTAATAGAAATAAATATTGTTGTGTACCACTGAATCAGAACTGACCCAGAGCTGACCCTCCGGTAGGTTTTTAGAGGCAGTAAATAGCACAGGAAGGGATTGCCCATCTTTCTCCCATGGAGCTGCTGGTGGGTTCGAACTGTGTACCTCTTGCAGGCAGTGCAATTCCTTACTACTAAGCTACCAGAGAAAGAAACACTTAAAACTTTAGCAGTTATCCTGTGTTGTGTGCAGCAGTAACTTGGGACACCATAGATTGCAAGTGTGTCTTGAGGTTTCTGTAACTTTCAAGGAATTTTAGACCTACTCTAAGTTTGAAGAAGGCAAAATAGTATTTATTCTAGAACTTTTAAATCATGGCAGTGGATATAGAAAATGTGTAAAAACAAGTATGAAAGAGCCCTGGCTGCATAGTGTGTAATGTATTGGATTTATAACTAAAAGGTGAGGACAAGAAAGACGAGTATTATCCTTCTGTAAAGATTTATGGTCGTGGGAGTCCAAAGAAGGGCTGTCAAGATCCTCTGGAAGACAGTGGACTATGAGTTTGGGGTTTGTGCATGTTTTGACGTAGCCCATTTAGATGATGAATTGTTACTGATAGAATAAATAGTCTTTATGATCTACTGCCAGTAATACATACACCCCACTCTCCACTTCAACTTTGAATATGTATGTAAAACATATTTTCTTATACTCCTATGGTTGGTTCAATGCTTTCCATTTAGACCTTCTCACCTATGCCACTTTGAGAGATTTGTTTTGTAAAAATAAGATTCCATAGTTAACCATGAAGCAAATGCACTGCAAGAGGTTTGATTTTTGACAGGTTAGTTGAAAAAATATGGATGATTTGAGACTACTTAGGTAGCTTTTTCAATCCAGTGAATCTGGTGTGTGTTTCCTTCTGCTACTGCAGACTTACAGCAGTGACAAATCAGAGCTTCTTTTTCTCTTATTTGAGACTTTCCTTTGTCTTTTTTCTGTTCTTTAATGAATATTTCATTCATTAATTTTAAATAAATTTAAAATTTTTTGGCTTTTATGTGAGGGCTGAGTTGTGTGTTTATAGAAAAAACAAAACTACACAAAAGCAATCCAAATTCAAATGATCTGGATGCTCTGTCAGGAGCTCTGGTCGCCCAGTGTGTAAGAATTTGCACAGTTGACCCGAAGACAGGAGGTTCAACTCCAACCGCTGCTTCAAAGGAGAAAAATGGTCAGTCTCCACCGGTGCTATTTACAGTCTCTGAAAACATACCAGAGGGTCAACTATGAGCTGGTTCTAACTCGATGGCTCATAACAAGAACATAAGGATGACAGCCAACAGTTAAGTAAAGGTCTGACTCTCACATGTCAACATAGATACATTCATGTTCCTCATTTTTGGCAGATGTTGTTGACTGGATTTAACTTTTACATATGTGTGATATGATATTGAAGTTAGAGTGCTTTAAGTAAAATGTTGCCATATTTCACGCTTTCCATTTGTCTTTCCAGCCATCATGTATGTCATGGGAGCACTTGGTCCTGCAGTGGGATATTTACTAGGTGGACTTCTCATTGGTTTTTATGTTGACCCCAAAAATCCTGTTTACCTTGACCAGAATGACCCTCGTTTCATTGGAAACTGGTAAGAATTGTTTTCTAATTCTTTCATTCCTCTTGTTACTAATAATAGAATTCCAGTACCTTTGTAGTTGATAAAATTTCTCAAATGAGGAAGTTAAAAATAAGGAAGTCATTTAGGAGGGAATAGTAGACAGAGTGTTGTTTTGTGCTGCTGAGTTGCCTATGATTCATAGTGACCCTCTGCACAATAGCACTAAACTCTGTTCTATCCTGAGCTGATCTCACTGTCTCTGACACACATACCCTCACTATCCCAGTTACTGTGTCAATCCATACCATCTGGGGTCTTCCTCTCCTGCACTGTACCTCGACCCTTCCAAGCATGATGTTGTTGTTGTTGTTAAGTACCATTGACTCCAAACTGACCCATAGCTGACTCTCCAGAGGGTTTTCAGAGGAAGTTAATCACACAGGAGGAGATTGCACATACTTCTCTCACAGAGGAGCTGGTGGATTTGAACCCCATGCCTTTGGGATTGTGGTGCAGCTTCTTACCATTAGGCGTACCATTATTTTTCTCCAAAGGCCCATTTCTCCTGGGTACAGTCCCAAAGTATGTGAAATTGAGTCTCAAAATCCTTGCCTCCAAGGAGCAGCTTGGTTTCACCCTCTCCATGACAGACCTGTTAGTTCTCTTGATAACCTTTAAAGAGGTCTACATTTGAATCCTTAGTATCTGTGAGTGTCACCTTAGTTGACCAAAGGGATTTTGTAGATATGATTAAGGACTTTGAGAAGGAAGGTTGTCTTGAACTGACTGGATGGACCTAGTGTACTCACAGGGGAAATAGGGAGGCAGGGGAGTCCAGGTTAGAGAAGGGGATGCCATGATAAGTTAAGAAGATGTGCCTGGAGATGATGGAGGAGATAAGTCAAGGAGGACACGTAGATCCTAGAAAACTCTGCCTTATAGTGTCCAATAGAAATGTAGTCCTATGTGACTTATTTTAGACTTCTAACTTTCACAACTATAAGAAAATAAATTGATGCTTTTTTAAGAAAAAACTAATTTTAATGAAAGCTTATAAAGACTTAGGGTTTCTATTCATTCATTGTTGCACTTTTCTCCCCACCCACTCCCTCCCCTCCCAATTCACTCTTCTCCTTGAAAAGAAAAACTCTTTCATTGTTATGCAATCCCTCCACCCAAGTCCACTCCACTGTGCGGCCTTCATTCTGTACTCCTGTCAATAATACCCAATCATATATCCCTTTCAAACAGTTCTCTCCCTCATCTGTTTCAATGCAGTATACATCATTCCTCCCCTCCTTCTCTGTTTTCCCTCAACCCTGATGTCAGTCCTGTTTTACAACAGTAGACCTATGCAATATTTGTCCTTTTGTGACTGAGATATTTCAATAAGCATGTCCTCTAGGGTCATCCACTTAGCATAATATTTCATGAGTTCCTTGTTTTTCAGTGCTGCATAGTATTCCATTGTGTGAATATACCAGAGCTTCTCTATCCATTCATTTGTTAATGGGCACTTGGGTTGTTTCCAGCTCTTTGCCATGTGAACAAAGCTACAATAAACATGGGTGTGCATAATTTGTGTTGTTTTTAATATACTGAGCCTGTGATAATTTGTTATAACAACAGTAAGAAAGTAATACAGTCGATTCAGTAAATCTCCTTAATTTATACTCTCTAAGATTGGGGTGTTAACCTTCATAGTGCCGTGCTGTGGTACATTCCTATTTTCTTAAATCATACAATTAATGATCTTGTCTGTACTTTTTTTAAAAAAATTAATTTTAATGCAAGTTTACAGAAACGTAGAGTTTCCCCCAGCCCTGATGTCAGTCCCATTTTACAATATGGCCCTATGCAATATTTGTCCTTTTGTGACTGAGATATATCACTCAGCATAATGTCCTCCAGGGTCATCCACTTAGCATAATGTTTCATGAGTTCCTTGTTTTTCAATGCTGGGTGTGCATTGTCTGTGCCTTTTAAAATACTTTCTTCATTTCCTTGTCCTGTTTGCATTTCTTCTTCACCGATATTCCGCTGCTTCCCAGAACTCCAGCCCAGTCTTCCATGGCCACACTCTCAGTGAATCTTTTCAGTTTGCAATGTGTTATGTAACTGGTCTTGTGCTGGGGATTTTAGTTGTTCTTTCACGTACTGTACTGCAGTTGTCCTTCTAAAGAAGGAATATTTAGGACCTAGACCTGGCACTTAAACTTTGGATGCTTTATCAAGACAGTGTGTGAGTTCTTTACAGTTTTCAACATGAATGTAAGTTAATTCTTCATGATTACAAGCACTAACTCAAATGTATCGGCTTCCCTTCTCATAGATAGTAATAAGTACACATTGGTAAGAGAAATTTCCTCTCATAATAAAAGATAATACTTCAGTATTAAAAATTGCATGTGTTGGGAAGTTAATCTTTGGGGTTCCTTAGGGTTTCTGTCATCTTTCTGTGTTTCATTATGGGATAATGACCTGATAACTCTGAGGTTGAGAGGGACAGCATTTGATACAAAGTATTAACAGATATCAAGTTATACAGCACTTCTAGTTTTCCCAAGTAATTCCCATAGATGATGAATATTATGGCCTGGTGGATGAGACAGGCCTGGTAGAATTTTCAAATCTTGCAGAAAAGAAGTTCTCCTGTCAACGTTAGGGGAATAACGCAGGCATTTTAACCTCTTGACTCACAGGGAAATTTTTTATTTCATCTACTGTTGGTTTTGGGGATTTTTCCCTGGTTGTAAATCAAATCAGAATAAGATGTTTTTATAATTGTGCTTTAAGTGAAAATTTATGGAGCAATTTGTGTCCCATTTGATCACTGATACAGACTTTGTTTTGTGATGTTAATCATATTGTAACTGTGCTTCCTTCCTGTGGCTCTGTTTCCCACCTGCCCTCTGAGCTTTCTCCGAGGCAAATACCACCCTTTTGGTCTCATACAGTTGATTGTTCTAAGGAGTGAGTCCCTCCCTTGAGTTACTACTGTTCACCTTATAAGTGCGTCTATTGTTTCACTGAAAGTTAAGCCAGAGATGAATTTAGCTTCAGGATTTTTTTTTTAATTTCAGCAAATAAGATCAGTAAAATATATGTATGAACATCCAATATATATCATATTAATTGTAGCAACCTGTGGCTTACTCTGATAAGAATGGGAATCCCAGAGCACTTGAGTGCTTATGTATACTTGCACCATGAGGCAGTTGTCAGAACAGAGCAAGGAAACACTGCATGGTTCAAAATTGGGAAGGGAGTTCTTCAAGGATGTGTCCTATCTCCATATCTTTTCAATCTATATACGGAACAGATTATCTTGGAGGCTGGGCTCTATGAGAAGTGTGACATCAGGATTGGAGGTAGACTCATCAACAATCTGCATTATGCAAATGACACAACTCTGCGTGCTGAAACTGAGGAGGACCTGAAGCGCTTGCTGCAGAAGGTCAAGGACTGCAGCCTCCTATATGGATTGAAGCTCAACATCAAGAAAACAAAGATTCTCACCACTGGGCCAATTGGCAACAATCATGATAGAAGGTGAAGAGCTTGAGAGTGTTGACAGTTTCAGTTTGCTTGGCTCTACAATCAACATTCTTGGTTCCAGCAACCAGGAAATTAAAAGACAAATTGCATAGGGAAAGTCTGCTGTCAGAGAATTCTCCAAAGTACTGAAGAGCAACAGTGTCAGTCTGGAGACTAACGTGCTCCTAATACAGGCCATGGTCTTTGGAGTTAACTGGACAATGACTAGGAATTATAGAAGGAGAGTTGATGCCTTTGATCTGTGATGCTGGAGAAGAGTATTGACTAGATCATGGACTGCTAGGAGAACCAACAAGTTTGTCCTAGAGAGAGTGAAACCAGGCTGCTCCTTGGAGGCGAGGATTCTGAAGCTTCTTCTGACATACATTGGACATGTTGCAAGGCTGGATCAGTCCTTGTAGAGGGACATCATACTTGGGAGAGTGGAAGGACAGTGCAGGAGAGGACCCTCAATTAGGTGGATTGATTCCATCACTGAGGCAATAGGGATAGATGTGTTAGAGAAAATGATACTGGCAAGTGATAGAGCAGAATTTAGGGCTGTTGTTGTACATAGGGTCGCTATGAGTCTCAGGCGACTCAATGGCACATAACAACAACAACAACAACAGGTGCCCATTTTGAGCTCTGGTGGTTTAGTGAGTAAGGCAGGCTGTTTAAATCCACTGGATGCTCTAAAGGAAAAAGATGGGCAGTCTCCTCTGCAATTTACTGCCTCTCAAAATCCACTTGAGGGTTAATTATGGGTGAGCTTTGTCTCAATGGCACAACAGCAGCAACAGCATAGATGCCCATGAGATGAGCATGGAGATGAGAGAACATTTGAAATGAGGGGGGAATGTGAGGAAGACAGGAGGGTAGGAACATTAGTGATGTTAAGGCATTGTGCTGTCTCTTTGAGATGTTTTCTAGCAGGCATTAATCTAACTGAGAGTCAAAGAGTCAAACTGGATAATAATTAGGAGCACAGACCTTAGAACTACATTCTTCTTAGATTATATCTGGTTTGCTACTTTGTGGCTGTGTGGCTTTGGGAAGTTATTAAATTTCTTTATGTCTCAAAGAGGTTCTTCCCTTTTTTCCATTAATAAAATAAAGATAATTATAATACATACTCCATAGGGTAGTTGTGAGGAATGAAAGACTTTATATATGTAAAGCACTAAATATTTTGAGTAGTAAGTGTTAGCTGTAATTCAGTCCTTTGTTCTTAACAGTTTACAAGTGTTTTAATTAATTTTATTGGCCCAGTTTTTTCTTTTCTTTTTAAAACTGGTTTGCATAAATAATTCATTTACATTGGGTTTTATTATTTTTTTAAATTATTTTTATTGGTTTGCATACAAAATTCATATACATTGTATTTCATTTATATATACTGTTTCATACCTTCCTCTATTCACATTATGTTTCACAGGGTCATTCCCATATATTGTGTTTATAAAATTAATCACCATTGTTCTCTATCTGCC